GCGGAGAGAGAGAGGCGCGGCCTTGGAAGGGTTAAAGAATCCAATCCTAGATTCCAGCTCTAGCCTCGCGGAGCCAACCTTTTCTGTGGCCGCAGGACACCCCTTTCCGTCTCCCCCACCGCTCTCCCTTCTCCACTGAATCACGTAATGGCCAGGGCTGTTCCCCCGCCGGCCTGACTGAGAGCTCACCAAGCGCTAAGTGCCTCCCCCTCTCCATGTATCCTCCATTGAGGAAACAGTTGTGCTCACCGTTTAACAGGGAGGGAAACTGAGGCACAGAGACGCCAAGTTAAAGATAATCGGGTTTAAAGATACAGCAAGAATAAAGCAGGACTTGGAATTCATTTCTGTCTGACTCCAGCACAGGCACTTTGATTTGCTAAGGTACGTGACCAGAGGATGACTAATAATAGCAAGGCTGGTGTTTTGAGGGCTTACTGTCAACTAGATACCATGTTCCCTGCATTATTAATTCTCTCATCTTCAAACACGCCCTAGAAAATGGGTACTATTATCATTAATTACCATTTTACAGATGAACAAACTGAGGCCCAGAGAGGGGAAGTGACTTGGCCAAGGTCACACAGGTGGTAAGTAGCTATGTGTCCACTTACAGCTTTCCATGGAAGAAGGGAAGAATAATAATGGATTTTGGAGTGTCCACTGAAAGGGACAGCCTCTGCTACACTGACCAAGACCTAGATCCTGACTTCCTAAAATCTGGTGGGTTGACAACTGTCTGAATATTTTGAGGAGGACATTGATATCTTCCCAGTTCCCTCCTTTCTTAGTCTTAGAATCAGGTTTGGAGTCCCAGAGGGTGGAGGAGTTGTGTTTAATATCTCTCATCCCCTTAATTTTCATATTTACAATCTGGCAGTGCTTTAGAACATAGCTCTGGAGTCAGACAAAATGTCAGTTAGCTATTGCCACAAAAATGCTGGTTATTGCCACAATAACCACCCCCCCAAATAAATTAAAAAAAACAACACAAGAAACCACCCCCAAACTCAGTGTCTTAAAACACTAAGCATTTATTTAGCTTCAAGTCTGAGGTCAGTGATTTAGGCTGGGCTCATCTGAGGTTATTCACAAGTTGGAATGGGTTGGGGGATCCTGACTGTTGGTTGCTCTAGCTGACCTTGGCTGTGATAAGGGCCTTGGACCTGGACTAGCCTAGCAGTGTTTTTCTCATGGCCACCGTCAAGCGCAAGAAAAAGCATGCAAGATCTCCTGAGTCCTGGGCTCAGAACTCACCAGCACTTCCATCTAATTCTGTTGGTCAAAGCAAGTCATGTGACCAAACCCAGAGTCAAGGGATGGGGCATGTCTCCCCACCTCACTCTCCCACTCCTCCCATCCCCAGAGTAGAACACTGATTTAAGTGGCAAAGGGTGTAGCTATAAGGATGAAGAATTGAGGGCATCAGTGCAATTCGATCACAGTGCCAAGTTTGAACCCTGGCTAGTCACTAGCTGTGTGACCTTAGGCAAGTGAATTAACCCCTCTGTGCCTCAGTTTCCTCCTCAGTAAAATAGGCTTAATAATACCTTTCTTTAGGGAATTAAATTTGTAGGAATTAAACAAGATAATGCATATAAAGTTCTGAGCATAGTCCAAGTGCTCAATAAAAGTTAATAATTGTTATTATTGTATTTTTAGATTTCTATTGATAACAATGTTATCATTCTAACAAAATAACAGTGACAATTTGCCCAGCCTCTACCCTGTGCTAGGCGCTAAGCTGGGTGCTTGACCACAGCCCTACAATGTGGTCAGGGTAAACATTACTGTCAATATTATTATGTCCTTTCTAAACACAGAGAAACCAACGATGAGAGAGGGGACAGGACTCACAGCCAATCACTGTTAGAACTGGGACCTCTGAACTCAGGCCCTGTTTCTAGCCCTAACATGCCTCTCCCTATCCCTAGGCTCACCTTCCCTGATGGCGCAGATACCAGGGGAAGTGGACAACATGGAGGGGCCCCCTGCCCCTAACAATAACAACCCTGTAGCCCGCTGGGAGAGTCCGGATCGGGGCTGGGAGCGGGAGCAACCAGCCGCTTCCACCGCGGGCGCCTCACTCTTCGAGTGCTCCCGGATCAAGGCCTTGGCAGGTACCTGGAGGAGAGCTGGGGTGGGAGAGCAGTTAGGGAGGGAGGATGCTGCTGGGGTGGTGACTCTGTACCTCAGTGCCTGAGAACCTTGATGGCCTGCAAGATGGGAAGAAAGTTACAGACACTTAGAACTTGAATCTTTAGACCAGCCAATAGAACTTTCCACACTGATGGAAACATGTTCTCTATCTGTGAAGTCCAATATGTTAACCACTAGTACTTGTGGCTGTGAGCAGTGGAAATGTGCTACTTGAGGGACTGAATTTTTAATTTAATTTCTTTTTAATTAATTTAGATTTAAATAGCCACATGTGGCTTGTGGCTGCTGTATGGAGCAATGCAACCAGAGAAACTTAGAAATGTACAACCCCAGATATGTGGGACTTTGTAAGCATATTTCCTTAGAATCCTCAGATCTTAGGACCTTGGAACGTCACACTCAGAAATTCTTTGAACCTGAGGGCTTTAAGAATGGAGACTCATGGAAAAAGACTTTCGTAATCACAGACCTTAGAAATTTTAATCATTGGCTCCTAGGATCTTAGAACCTTAGAAACAAAAACTCTTATACAGATAGATCCTTAGGGCTTTATAATTCTAAACCTTTAGAATTTCAGATTAGAAGCGTGGATCCTGAGAACTTTGAGATAAAATGACCACAGCTTTATGCTTTTTGCACTGAAACCCTCAGTCTTGGGACAACTGGGATGGTTGGTCACCCTACTTTGATGTTTTAAAACAATATAAGCGAAGACCAGAACACTGTATACTTACAGAATCTTAGGACCTTAGACCTTTGAAATGGTAGGTCCTTGAACCTTAGGACTTTGTATTCCTGGGGCTTTAGAACCTAGAGGTGTTTAATCATCAGTATTAAAGCTTTATGATGGAGCTGGAGATGGTCATACTATGTGAAGTAAGCCAGAAAGAGAAAGCAAAATGCCATATAATATCACTTATATGTGGAATCTAAAAAAACAAAAAGAGAAAAAAAGGACTCAAATGAACTTATTTACAAAACAGAGACAGACTCATAGACATAGAAAACAAACTTACGGTTACCAGACAGAGAAGGGGGTGGGGAGGAATAAACTGGGAGTTCAGGATTTGCAGATACTAACTACAATATATAAAATAGATAAACAACAAGGTCCTACTCTATGGCACGAGGAACTATATTTAATACCTTGTAATGGCCTATAATGAAAACCAATATGAAAATGTACATATGTGTATAAATGAATCACTATGCTTTAAACCAGAAATTAACACAACATTGTAAATTGACTATAATTCCACTTAAAAAATGAAAAAAAAAAGCTTTATGAGCAAAGGCCCTTCAGAGACATGTAACTCCATAGTCATAAGCGTTTAAAACATTAGACCCTTAGCACGTTGACCCTTGGGAATGTTACTATCTCAAAATTGTGGAGTGTTATACACATAAAATATATATTGTCATAGTCATGAAATTTTAAAATCCAAAAGTCAGAATCAATTCCCTTAGCATCTCAGAGTTTTAGTAACTCAACATCTGACAGTCATTGGCTCTACAATACTAAGATCCTTGGAATTTTATAAGATGTCAAGCAGGTTGTTTTATAAGATGTCAAGGGTCTCCGGGAAGCAAGAGACATACACAACTGAGTGGACTGGGGACCATGGTCAACTGGAGAACAGCGCCCTGGTCGCCGGCTCTAGCCATGGGGAAATGCAGGCCCAGAGCTGCTGGCTCTGATGTTTATATGCAGTTTCCCAATTAAAAAAACCAAAACAAAAAAAACTGAATGTAGCGGGGAGGGTATAACTCAAGTGGTAGAGTGTGTGCCTAGCATGCACCAGGTCCTGGGCTCAATCCCCACTACCTCCTCTTAAAAAAAAAAAAAGCCTAATTACTTCCCTCTCCCTACAAAAAGAATTCAAAAAACAAGATAATTTAAAAAAAAAAACAAAAAACTGGAATGTGACACAAAATCTGAACCAGATTCAACTCATGGTTGGCTATCTTCCTCTGGTTGAGACACCTCAAATGATATAAACATATACTCATGGAAACTGAAAATTGAATTTCTAGTCTTAGATTTGAAAACTTGGGAACATATCAACCTTAGAATTCCTAGAATTTCTTATTTTATCCACAAAATATTTATTCAGTGCCTGCTCTGTGTTTGGCCTGTACTGGACAATATGAGGGACATACTGGTGAATAAGGCAGCTCTGGTCCTGCCCCTGCAGGGCGCCCAGTCCAGTGGGAAAGTTAGATCCAGCCAGATCGTGATGCTACAGAGGTATCAGGGCTGAGATGTGGGAGGCAAAGGTGGAGAACTGTAATGTGGAAGCCTGGGGACTGTAGGAGCCCAAGTGAGGGGCCGGATCCAGTCTAGGGAATCAGAATGCTTTCTGGAGGTGGAGAGGGCTAAGCTGAGCTCTAAAGGATTAACAGGAGTGAACCTTGGCAGGGGGGTGGGAATAGCTCATCAGTAGAGTGCATGCTTAACATGCAAGTGGTCCTGGGTTCAATCCCCAGTACCTCCATTAAAAAATAAGTAAATAAATAAATAAACCTAATTACTTCACCCTCCTCTCCAAAAAAAAGTGGTGAACCTTAGAGTCGAGAGTGGAAGAATATTCTAGAGAGAGGGAACAGCAGAGGTAAGATTTCCAGAAGTTGGGAGTGGCTGGAGTGAGGTGGTGAGTAAATAATGATGAGAGAGGAGCCAGTGGGTTCCAGATCTGGAAGGGCCTTGTACATTCTTGAGAGTGTGAGGCTCCCAGGGAGCTACAGTATGATTTGAATGCAGAGGTGGGATGTGGTAACATGAGGATCAAGGACTAGTCAACTCTTAGAACCACTGATTCAGAGAACACCAGCCCTGGATGACACCACAGACAGCATCTGGTCCAGAGAAATGTAGGAACCTCCTTTAAGGAAAAAAAATTTCTTAAATTGTTAGAGCTGTGGTTTTCTTAAATGCACAAAACCACACAACTCAGTTTATATCTCTTATGCCTAAATTCTCTACAACTAAAACACATCATTTGGATTCTAGACCCAAACCACAAAACCAATTGACTTCAACATAACAGTAACTTTGCGATGCTGCTATCCTGTTGTTCAAAATGCTAATAGGATGTAGACAACTAGGGCGCATTTTCTTTTGGGTCCCTTTGCCCGCTTCTCTCATGGTTTTTGTCTATTCAAACTAAGGCCAAACTTCTAAGCAGAGTTCTCGGTAACATGTTTTTGCATGAAGACAATTAAAAAATTTGTCTGGATCCCATGCTCAAAGAGTTCCTGTAATCATGCTCCACAGTGTGTGGCTTGCTGTTGTCAGGCGTCTGTGTGAGTCCTCTTGCCTCTTAACCTACTCATTTATTCTGTTTTATTCCCATATATCACATCAGTGCCCTCTCTCCTATATGCAACAATTGTTTTTTTCCTTTTTCTCCCCTGTATATTTGTTTTCATGTTCTTTATCATTAAAGGTTATTGCAGGATATTGAATATAGTTCCCTGTGCTATACAGAAGAAATTTTTTAAAATCTATTTTTATATATAGTGGCTAGCATTTGCAAATCTCAAACTCCCGAATTTATACCTTGCTATACCCACTTTCCCCCGGTAACTGTAAGATTGTTTACTATGTCTGCGAGTCTGTTTCTGTTTTGTAGATGAGTCCACTAGTGTCCTCTTTTTTTCTTTTTTTAGATTCCACATATGAGTGATATCATATGGTATTTTTCTTTCTCTTTCTGACTTACTTCATTTAGAATGACAATCTCCAAGTCCATCCATGTTGCTACAAATGGCATTATTTTATTCTGTTTTATGGCTGAGTAGTATTCCATTGTGTAAATATACCATAACTTCTTTAGCCAGTCATCAGTCTATGGACACATTTCCAATTGTTTTAATGCGGATCTTTTCCTTTGCATGTGGATGACTGTGAAACGTGCATTGCTGATTAGTATGCATGTATCCATATATTTTAACTCTTTATTAAAAGTATTACATGCATACAGAAGGGCAGATATATTGTGACTGTCCAGGATTTCCACAATTAGTGCCCCTTTGTAACTAGCACCCAGATCAGGAAACAGAATTTTGACAGCCCCAGAGAAGCCCCACTCAGGCTGCCTCTGTATCACTACACCCCAGGGTAAACACTGTCCTAACTTCTAAGAGTGTACATTGAATTTGCTAGCAACTGAACTTTATATAAATGGAATCAAGCAGTGGGTACCCCTCTGACAACTGGCTTCGTTCACTCTACACTTCCTCTTGTGAGATTCAATTCATCAATGTCTACCTCTACTTGTAGACCGTCCGTTTTCATTGCTGTATAGTATTCCACAATGCGATTGTGCCCTAACTTATCTGTTCACCTGTTGGTGAACATTTGAGGTGGCTTCAAGTTGGGGATATCACAAACTAGATTACTACAAACTGTTAGTAGTATTACAAATTGTTACATTGTTTCCCATAGGGCAGTGGTTATCACATTCGCCTGACAAATTGTTGCCGCTCTAAACTTTCTAGTACGTGTTTTTGGTGGATATAAGCACTCATTTCTGATGCTTAGACCCACCCGGGAGTGAAATTATTGGGTCACAGGGTAGGTGTAAATCTAACTATAGAAGAAACTTCCAGTTTGTATAATTTTACATTCCTCCAACAGTGTATGAGCAATTCAGTTGCTGTATATCTGACCCTTGATGGGGTCAATCTTTTAAATTTTAGCCATTCTGACAGGTGTGGATTCTATTGTAGTTTTAATTTGCATTTTTCTGATAGCTAATAACATTTAATGAGGTGGAGCACCTCTTCATATATTTACTATTTGAATATTCTCCTGTGAAGTCTTGTGCTTGTTTTCCTATTACTATTCTTACTTTTTGTTTTGTTTTGTTTTGTTTTGCAGGAGTTCTTATATATTCTGGGTACAAGTCCTTTGTCAGATACACGTGTTATGAATATTTTCTCCTACGATGTGGCTTAC